AACAGCACTAGGGTCCCTGTTATTGGATAAAGTGCGGGACAAGTCCTTCCCTGGACATCTGCCTGCCCCCTCTCCCCTGACCTTCCCACGCTGGAAGGAACTCTTCTAGCCCTTTACTTTTACAGGACATATCGTCCGTGTCATTGATTTGGCAGTTGTGTGTTGCTTTGTATTGGAGTAAGTGATGCGCCTTTCATCCCCTGGAAAATAAATCTGTTTCCTACACTCTGTGTTCCCCCAAGTAGGTGGCCCTAGATGGAATGCTTGATGGATCAGTTGGCTACTGAAAATGCCTGTGGTACTCAGCCCGTCTTAGAATGTGGGCCTCGTTCTTCTTACCTCCAAAGCAGCAGATCAACAGAAGATTCAGAATAAAGAACAGTAACACATAACAGTTCCAAGTGTTCCTTTGTGCTGAAATTTACCAAAGCTTCTGTGGATTGAGGCAGTTAATGGGGAAATTCTATCAACCTAGGAGTAGTTTAATAGATATTAGCTTGTAATTAAAAGTTCAAGGTAAATTGTCTTTCCTTTATCTACCTACTTTTCTTTCTGCCTGTGTGATTCTATTTCCATTAATAGAGTAACCACCAGCCATGAGCTTTCTGTTTGCTTTGGCCTCTCCTATCTTTCCTCATTTTCTCCATCAGGTTCTCTCCCTTGACCACTTCTGATTTCTTTTCTCTTCCATTTTTCTCCTGTTCACACTCTTCCTTTTTAAAATGCCATCTTTTTGGACAAACAAAATGGTTCAAAACATTAAAGGAAAACGAAAAAGAATATTATTTCATTCCCACATTCATCTTGTTATCATTGAGTTTTACCTTCTCTTACCCTCTCTACCATTTCCCCATAGGGGTACATATTTTATATTAATTATATATATACTTTTGCATTCTATTATATGTATAAAACTTTATTACATATTTATTATATATATACATATACATGTAATATACATAATTATAAATGTAATTTTGCATTTTATGATATATGTAGTTTTGTATTTTGTTCTTTTAACTTAATATTCACATTTTTAAATTCAGCAAATGCTAACTGAGCTCCTACTATATGCCAGACATTGTTCCAGGGGCTGGGGACACATTCGTGGACAGACCAGCCATAAACTCCTACTGTCATGGACTTAGGTCTAGTTCATGGAGAAAGACAATAAACATAATACAAATGATGTTAGGAGGTGACAACTGTTATGGAAACAAAGAGTAGGGTGAAAGAAGATTGGGAATATTCATAAAATAGTATCTTGTGTTTCTACCATTTTTTTTTTTTTTTTTTTTGAGATGGAGTCTCGCTCTGTCACCCAGGCTGGAGTACAGTGGCACAATTTTGGCTCACTGCAACCTCCGCCTCCTGTGTTCAATCAATTCTCCTGCCTCAGCCTCCTAAGTAGCTGGGATTACAGGCACATGCTACCACGCCCAGCTAATTTTTTGTATTTTCAGTAGAGATGGGGATTTCACCATGCTGGCCAGGCTGGTCTCGAACTTCTGACCTCATGATCCGCCTGCCTCGGCTTCCCAAAGTGTTGGGATTACAGGCATAAGCCATCGCGCCTGGCTATTTCTACCATTTTCTTATGTCCTCAGTTTTATGTTGTCCTTGATGTTGATGGATTTTAATTTATTGAGAACCTTAGGACTATATAACTTATTTTTTTGCTTTGTTTTGTTTTTGAGATGGAGTCTCACTCTGTTGCCTAGGCTGGAGTGCAATGGCACAATCTCAGCTCACTGCAACTTCTGCCTCCCAGGCTCAAGCGATTCTCTCGCCTCAGCTTCCTGAGTAACTGGGACTATAGGTGCCCACCACCACACCTGTCTAATTTTTGTATTTTTAGTAGAGACGGGGTATCGCCATGTTGGCCAGGCTGATCTCAAGCTCCTGACCTCGAGTGATCTGCCTGCCTGGGCCTCCCAAAGTGCTGGGATTATAGGCGGGAGCCACCGTGTCCGGTCAGGACCATATAACTTTAAATCACGAGAGGACATGGAGTCATTGAGAGCAAACCCTTCATTTCTGAGGTGAGGAAACAGGTCCAGATAAAAGAAATGACTTGCTCAAAATCATACTGCCCCCAAATAGCAGAGCAGGGGCTTACATTTTAATTAAAGTGATTTTCATTAATTCTAAAGATGGTTCTTTCAGAATCCTACTATGCCATTTCCCTATAGTGAGAAATTTAATTTGTGTCTGGCTTTTATTAAAAATAATGCTGCAGTGGGCAGCTTTATACAAATAGCATCTTAACGAAAGCAAGTCTATTAATAAAAACAATAATAATAAATAATAGAAAATGTTAATATTTACTGAGCTCTTAAATTTTCTATGCCCTGTGCTAAGCATTCTACATGAAATAATATACATCTGATAATGAGTACCATAGTTTCTTCTTTTTTTTTTTTTTTCTTTGAGACGGTCTTGCTCTGTCACCCAGGCTGGAGTGCAGTGGCACAGTCTCTTCTCACTGCAACCTCTGCCTCCTGGGTTCAAGCGATTCTCCTGTCTCAGCCTCCCAAGTAGCTGGGATTACAGGCACACATCACCACATCTGGCTAATTTTTGTATTTTTAATAGAGACAAGGTTTTGCCACATTGGCCAGGCTGGTCTCGAACTCCTGACCTTAGGTGATCCATCTGCCGTGGCCTCCCAAAGTGCTGGGATTACAGGCATGAGCCACCGTGCCCGGACACTTTATTTTATATTTGAGAAAATGAAGGGATTAAAACTTAAGTCTGACCAAGCCCGGGGTCTGACTCTCAGCTTCTATCATATACAACTTTCCGAGTCTGAAGATTAAAACAGCAATTGTCAACAAAAATCCCCCAAACTCTCCAATTAAGAAAAAAAAAGCAAATGTCAAAAACCAAGATAATCGAGTATATACATTTATTTAAGAGTTTACCAAACATTTAAGTTTTACCAACCTTTTACTGATTATGTTTCATATGTAATTGTTGCTTTGTATAGCCAAGGACAGTTGGAATTGGCAATTTCCTAAGTTCTAGTCAGTTCTCACAGTAACACAGTGAGATAGGTGATAATTGTGCCTGTTTTATAGATAAGTAGTGTAGTATTATTATTATTATTTTTTAAGATGGAGTTTTGCTCTTGTTGCCCAGGCTGGAGTGCAATGGCACAATCAACCTCCGCCTCCTTGGTTCAAGCGATTCAACTGCCTCAGCCTCCCGAGTAGCTAGGATTACAGGCATGCGCCACCACGCCCGGCTAATTTTTGTATTTTTTTTTAGTAGAGGTGGGGTTTCTCCATGTGTTGGTCAGGCTGGTCTCGAACTCCCGACCTCAGGTGATCCACCCACCTCGGCCTCCCAAAGTGCTGGGATTACAGGCATGAGCCACCATGCCCAGGCTTAGTGTAGTATTTCAGGTGGAGCTTGGACACTGAGGGATTTAGTTAATGTTTACAGAAAGGAAAAAGGAGTGGGGAAGCAAGGCAGATGGAATTATTTATGCAAAGCAGGGAGCTAAGACTTGGTCTAGAATCCTGGTTCACCTCCTCGTAGGTATGTGACCTATGGCAAAGTACTTGAACTGTTTGTGCCTCCATTTTCTCACCTGAAAACAGGGAGGTAATAAAATATCTTTCATAATGTTGTAAGGATTACATTATAAATGGGTAGAAATCACTTTCTATAATACTGGCAGAAACTAAGCGATTGATCAGAGGTTATTGGTGGTAATAGTTCCTTCTGTCATTATATTTCAGATTAAATCCTTTTGTCTTCTAATGATGGTCTTTCTGTAAAACACACAAAAAATCTTTTTTTTAAGGGCATTGATAAATTAGTATAGTTTATCAATCTTTTAAAATGTCATTGATAAATTAATGACTCTGGACAAAATTAAGAATTCTCTTTTTCTTTTCTTTTGAGACAGGGTCCCACCCTGCCGCCTAGGCTGGAGTGCATTAGTGCAATCACAACCCACTACATCCTTGACCTTATGAGCCAAAACAATCCTCTTGCCTCAGCCTCCCAAGTAACTGGGACCACAGGCTCACACCACGATACTCGGCTAATTTTCCTTTGTTTTTAATTTTTTTCTACGGACAGGGTCTCGTCATGTTGCCCAGGCTGGTCTCAAGCAATTCTGGGCTCAAGCAGTCCTCCCACCTTGGCCTCCCAAAGTGCTGGGATTACAGGCATGAGCCACCACCTGGAATTCTCTTTTTCTATAGGCAAAGACTTCATCTAATTCTGATGGTGTACTATGTAAGGTGGGTGGAAAAGCAGAGATGAACTAACCTCTCTGTAGGTTTTGGGGTCACAGTGGGGTGAAGCTCAGAAATGAATGGCCCACCCAGCCATTTTTCTCCCTACTGTTCCTCTGGAGCCATCTATGATTTTATGGCATCTTGTCCCTTCCTTCAGGTGACGCCCTTCTGTGCCTGTGCCTCTTCCTGATGGAAGGAATGGAATTATCAGAGCTAAACATGCCAAGTGAGCAGTCCTTTGTGCTGCTGAACCACAGCAGGGGCTGAAAGAGCTGTTAGTGGAAGGGGTGGCACATTCTGAGCATGCCCTCTTGGATTTTTATGCAGCCAGTGAGTCTGTAAATGGAGCCACGGGCTTGGTCTGCAAACTGCTTACAGCATCAGTCAGCATGGGGGAACAGCCTATCCCTTGGGAAAAAACTCTCCTCTAGGGTAGGGCTTGGGAAAAAGTGAAGGCGTGCAGAAAATCTTTTCCTCTTCTCCCTATTCAAATCTTGGCAAGAAAGCACACTCTTCATTTCTGTTTCCTGTATCAGCAGCAGATTCCCAATTTGAACTTCAAGGCATCGTCCTTGCTTCGTCATACGTCAGCTTTTCCGGCTGCAAACAATTTTGCTTCTCTAGTTGACAAGGACTCTAATAACTCCAGGTGGTGAATGGGCGGTGGGGAATACAGTTCTGTAGAAATACAGCTCTAAAGCAATACAAACACAGAGGGAAAAAATGGGAAACTTGGCAAGGGGGAAGTGCTGGAATAAAGCATTTTACCTTTATTGACATTGAAGAAACCTCCCCTCAGCTGAACTCCAGATTCATTCAACACTTCATGGTTTAGCCGCACAGGGGAGTATTATATAGCCTTTAACAGTGGTGTGGCTGACGTTCCTTTATTAAGGAAGGTTGATAAAGATACACTGTGAGATGAAAGACAGCAGATTACAATTCAGTAAATGAACCATTTTAATAAAAATATGTGCTGCGTTTATCTAGATATAGACAGGAAAAACATTTGGAAGGTTGTCCATATGGTGTGGGTGGTTGGATCATGGGTGTTTATATTTTCTTTCATTTGCTCATATGTATTTTCAAATTTTTTTGCTGCAATCAATATGTATTACTCATATAATCAGGGTGCATAGTGCATCGGGGCACCTCATTTACTGCTTGGGTCCTCCCTTTTTTTATCCATTCATTCAACATATTTAGGGAGGCTCTCCTAGGGTCTGGGCACCGTGGCAGGAACTGCAGTGGGCACAGTGATGGCTCCGTCTCTGGCGTCACAGCTGACATTGTAACAAGAGGTGGTTTTTGGTTGTTTATTTCTTTGTTTTTTTTTTTAGTTAAAACATTTTTAAGCTAAAAATGTAAAATAATTAGAGACTGGGTGCGGTAGCTGACACCTATAATCCCAACACTTTGGGAAACCAAGGCAGGAGGATCACTCGAAGTCAGGAGTTTGAGACCAGCTTGGCCAACATGGCAAAACCCCGTCTCTACTAAAAACACGAAAAAATTATCTGAGCATGATGGCTTGTGCCTGTAGTCCCAGCCACTCGGGAGGCTGAGGCAGGAGAATCACCTGAACCTGAACCTGAGAGGTGGAGGTTGCAGTGAGCTGAGATGGCACCACTGCACTCTAGCCTAGGTGACACAGCGAGATTCTCTCTCAAAAAAAAAAAAAAAAAAAAGGAAAGAATTAGTGTTTGTGATAAGCGCTGTGAAGGAGAAACACCAGTGACATGCTAGGGAATGAGTGAAGGTCGGGGGGGTTCACCTTTGGAATGGCGATGGGGGAACCGCTTTGAACCTGAAGGCTGACAAACAGCCACGTGAAGAGACTGGAAAGCGTACTCGAGGTACAGAAGAGAACAGCCAGTGTGAGGCGGTGGGACCCTGTTTTCTTCCTGCAGGTGACCTGAAGGGTTGGGGAAATGAGACTTGGAGTCGCCCCACTTGTGAGAAATATGTTAGATTTGCAAATGTGATGGAGGCTCAGAGATAAACCTTGTAACTCGGGGGACAGCTTTATGGCTCCTGTGAGATTGGTTAATGTTTTGCTAAATAACAGGAAGGTGTCAGTTTGATTGGTTGCCTTCTTACTTGGGTTCTTTTTGAATAGCGGCTCTGATGTCATCTTTCAAGGCTGGATGAGCTTCTAGCCCTTCCCAGGAGATTCTCAGGCCTCTGTCCCCTGTCCTCTTCCCCTTTCTTCATTAAATATCCATGGAGTCTTCATCCCTAAGGTAACACTGGAGTCCCTGACTATGGTGGAAATGTTTGGAGATGTCTTTTTCCTCAAGGATTCGGTGTTCATTCATCCTGTGAAAAGGAAGAGAGTATCAGTTGATAGAACTCCCTGAATGTTCAATTGAGGAGTGAGACTGGATACAGAGGCAGCAAAAACTATCCTCTAGGTGCTGCACCATACTGAAAGATGTCTTTGAGTGAAGGCTGGCAGCAAAATGTAGTCTTCTCTAAGGACAACTGGGCAATAACAAATCAGGAACCATAAAAATGTTCAGATCCTTTGACCTGGTAATTACAATCCAGGGAGCTTATGCTGAGGTCAGAGTTTTTTAAAAGGAAAAACAAAGAAAACAGAATGTCTCTAATAGCAGTTAACAGTCAATAATGATATAGTGCTTTGGAGCCTTGAAAGTATTTTCTTATACAGTCTTCATGAGAGCTTCCCAACATTTCTGAGAAGCAGACGGTCTTATCCCCATTTCACAGAAAGGAAGCGAAGATCAAGTGAGTGGGTGTACTTCACTCTGGCAGATTCAGAACCTGAGCTCCAGCTCATGAATGGTTGCCCAGTGGGTTTGGTCAGAAACTCAAGGTACAGCCGGGCACAGTGGCTCACGCCTGTATTCCCAGCACTTTAGGAGGCCAAGGTGGGCGGATCAGCTGAGGTCAGGAGTTTAACACCAGCCTGGCCAACATGGTGAAACCCATCTCTATTAAAAATGCAAAAATTAGCCAGGTGTGGTGGCACATGCCTGTAATCCCAGCTACTCACTCAGGAGGCTGAAGCAGGAGAATCGCTTGAACCCGGGAGGCGGAGGCTGCAGTGAGTGGAGATCGCTTGACAGCCCTCCAGCCTGGGGCGACAGAGCAAGACTCTGTTTCAAAAAGATAAATAAATACAAATAGAAAAAAAGAAACTCAAGGTACAGTGGTGGGAGTCAAAAAAGCCTAAGGAGAAAACCAAGACTGAAAACAGTTATTGAGTTTAGTCTGTGCCTAGTTCAGTCCCTAGCATTTTACAAGTTTTCTCTGAGTTAACACAACAGACTTGTGGGGGAAACTGATGCTTTCAGATGTTGAATAACTTGTGTAAGCTGTAGAGCAGGTTTCAAAGCCTGACCAGGTTACATCCAGAGCGTAAAGGTGGTTTCAGCTTTGCTGTGTTGCTCTCTGCATTCACAGGAATGCTTAGAAGGAGTGAATATATGAACACATGGATGAACAAATGGATTAGGGAGGTTAGGACATGAGAACCAGCTTCTGTAGAGAACTGGACCTCAGGCTCCCCGTGGATGACAGGTTCTTTTCCATAGTTCTGCATTTTCTACCTGCAATACAGGAATGCGGTTGCCCAGGCCCCTCCCAGGAGAGTTGCAGCTTCCCTGACCCTCGAGGCCACACTTCTCCAATACCTTTTGCCTAAAGGCTCTTTTTCCCTAGAGGATCAACTCATCCCTTGCAAAATACCCAAAGCCAAATGAGTCTAGGGGGTAAACCAGCCATGTAGGGTGTGGAACTTTAGCAACTGAAAGAAACTGAGGTATTTCAGTATGATGAAATACTCTGTAGTCATTAAAATGATAGATGTGAGTGTGTAGAAATATGAGAAAGTATTGGGAAAGAGTTGCACATATCTGAAGAAACCAGTGAAAGCAATGTGCCTTTATTTATTTATTTATTTATTTATTTTTGTTTTTTATTTTTTTGAGACAGAGTCTCAGTCTGTTGCCCAGGCTGGAGTGCAGTGGTGGGATATCAGCTTACTGCAACCTCTGCCTCCTGGGCTCAAGCGATTCTCCTGCCTCAGCCTTCAGAATAGCTGGGAATACAAGCATGTGCCACCACGCCTGGCTAATTTTTGTATTTTTAGTAGAGACAGGGTTTCACCATGTTGGCCAGGCTGGTCTCGAACTCCTGGCCTCAAGTGATCTGCCCGCATTGGCCTCCCAAACTCCTGGGATTACAAATGTGAGCCACCGCACCTGGCAAAGCAATGTGCATTTACATGGATAAAGACTGGAAGATAAGAGGACTGAAAACTGTGTAAAAGTATTGATATCACGTGGTGTCACCATCCAGTTTACTAAGCCAGGAGCCTCTGGGTCATCCCGACAACCCCAGTCTCCTCTTCCCCCAGATTGAACTTGCAGATTCTGCATCAGTTAGCATCTTAATTCCGGTGCCTGTTCTTCATCTTCACTACCAGTTTCCTTGTGCAGGCTCTCTCCTTATCCCTCTCCTGGACCCCACAGCAGCCTCTTAAGTGGTTTGCTGGCCCTATGTTCTCTCTACCACTGTAGTCCATATTGGACCCTGTGGTCAGAGTGATTCTGATATAAAACATATCTGATTATGTGTCTCCCTTGGTTAGAAGCGTCTCTACTTGTGGTTGCCTTCAGAAGGCAAGCTCAAACTTCTTAGGGTGGTGTGTGATGTCCTTTACAATCTCAGTGTGTCACAGCACCCCCACAATCCCCCCCAACCCTTGGCCCCCGTATTTTCTTCTTGGCCCTTTCCCCTTCCCTTCAAGACCAAGCTCAGAGGTCCCATTCTTTTTTTTTTTTTTTTTTTTCCTGAGATGGAGTCTCACTCTGTTGCCCAGGCTGGAGTGCAGTGGTGCAATCTTGGCTCATTGCAACCTCTGCCTCTTGGATTCAAGTGATTCTCCTGCCTCAGCCTCCCAAGTAGCTGGGATTACAGAGGCATGTGCCACCATGTTCGTTTAATTTGTTTTTGTTTTGTTTTGTTTTGTTTTGTTTTGTTTGGTAGAGATGGGGTTTCATCATGTTAGTCAGGCCGTCTCGAACTCCTGGCCCAAAGTGACCTGCCTGCCTCAGCCTCCCAAAATACTGGGATTATAGGTGTGAGCCACTGCCCCTGGCCAAAGGTCCTATTCTTTGTGAAGCCTTCACAGTTGTCCCAGGGAAAGTTGGTTCCTCTACCCTTCTGAATTATAAGGAGTCATGCTTTGTTTTAAGTGCAAGAATGACAGCCTGTCCTTTCACTAAACTCGCAGCCCCTCTGGAGCAGGAACTCGATGTCTTACTGTCCTTCTTCCCAGACCCTCAGCCTGATGCCTAGGACACAGTAGCGGGGTGGGGGTAGGGGGGCAAGAATGTGTGTTGATTGAATGAATCAATGATTGAGTGAAACCATTTATTCTCTATAGTGTTTTAAAACTGATTTAATAATCAATAAAAGTTTCCAAGAAAACAGCACTGCAGGAAAGCCACAGGACCTTGTGACATTTAAAAAAATAGAGACAATGCAGTGTCCATAGAAACTGTGGAGTTGACAGATTGGGTTTGAATCCTGGATCTGTCACATATGGAGTTTCGGCTGCCTCATTTATAAAATGGGCCTGATAATAGTACCATATAGGATGGTTGTGAAAAAGCAAAAGAAGAAAACAAGTCAAGAGCTTAGAGTTTAGTACAGTGTACAGCTATCCACAATGCGTAGATCATCATTAAGAGACTAGTGCTCTTATGTAAGCCTTTTTTTTTTTTTTGCATCTTTTGTTCAATTTTTCAACATAAATCTTTGAAAGCTTTGACCTCAGAGAAAATGTGATTACATTCATGCACAATGATGAAGAAAGGATTGTAGAATAAGTTCAGCACTTCTCATAGGGGTCTTGTTTTCTGAGCCAGCTTCCTCTTTCAGGGAATTCCCACATGGGATAATGGAAGAACTTGTGAGTTCTTGTACATGGCAGGAATGGGCCCAGGGCAGCTAAGGAGAAAGGTGCATCTGAGAGGGGCATTCCATGTTCCTCACAGGACTCATCGTATTTTGTTACTATTATTATTTTTCGAGATGCATTTCGCTCTTGTCATCAAGGCTGGAGTGCAGTGGCAAGATCTCGGCTCACTGCAACCTCCACCTCCTGGGTTCAAGCGATTCTCCTGCCTCAGCCTCCTGAGTAGCTAGGATTACAGGCTCCTGCCACCACGCCCAGCTAATTTTTGTATTTTTAGTAGAGATGGGGTTTCACCGTGTTGGCCTGGCTGGTCTCGAACTCCTGACCTCGTGATCCACTGCTTCGGCCTCCCAAAGTGCTAGGATTACAGGCGTGAGCCACTGTACCTGGTCCAGTATTTTATTATTATCACTTCTCAGTGGACTGCTTCTTTGCTGGACTGTAAGCTCCCTAGGCCAGCGTCATGTCTATATTGCTCTCCATAGATAAAATTAGGACAGTGGATGAAAATTGTTGTGCATCAGCTTACTGTAAAAGAGGTTTCTCATAGTCAAAGGCTGATGATTGCAGTAATGAGCTCCCTATAGTTGGAGATATTGGAGCTGAACTAGATATTCACGTGTTAAAGATACTATGAAAGATTTCTGCTTTTGGTGGGAGATAGGGTTAGGAGGTTTGTGGTTACTCAGAGCTCATATCTAAGGGACTGTGCACGTGTATGAACTCCTCCTCTGGTTCACATTGAGGACAGTGGTCCATCTGAACCCAGGTTATCTGAGGTTGGATGTCAGTATGTCAGACAAGTGGACCAAGCTTCTTGGATTATGAGGACTTTTCTATCAGCATCAACATTTGCAAAACATCATCTCCAGCCAGGCGCGGTGGCTCATGCCTGTAATCCTAGCACTTTGGGAGGCTGAGGCAGGTGGATTGCCTGAGCTCAGGAGTTCCAGAGCAGCCTGGGCAACATGGTGAAACCCCCGTCTCTACTTAAATACAAAAAACTAGCCGGGCATTGTGGCGTGCGCCTGTAATCCCAGCTACTTGGGAGGCTGAGACAGGAGAATCGCTTCAACCTGGGAGGTGGAGGTTGCAGTTAGCTGATACCGCGCCACTGCACTCCAGCCTAGGTGACAGCAAGACTGTCACAAAACAAACAAACAAACATCTCCTTCCGTTTCATTGAAATTGACCAGAATTATAAGAGCTACAATATAGAACCCCTGAATCCTCCTGAAGTATGATAATTAAGGTAAAAGTCTGAGGCCTAGGAATGTTGCCCCTAGTGTATGCCTTGAAAAAGCCACTTCATCTCTCCATGACTCAACACGTTTCTAAGTAATATGCCCACCATGTTACATACCATTTGGTTTCTACATAACTCAAGAGGAAGACAAAAAGGCTAAATAAGGTAAGGGCTGCCCTTCTGTGTTTTGTGGCAAGGAGTGATTTCTTGGCCCATACAGTAAGGCGCAGATAGTTACTGGAACTTTAGCGCCTTGACTAGAGCTTCGTTCATAATCAGGATTTCATGGATAGGCTCCTTGGTTGCATGAAACTCTTGATATGTTATGCAAACGTGTGTGCATGTATGTGTTTTACTGGGGGGAAAAGTCCATACTTTTACGGGATTTTCAGTTGGGCCTGTGACCCCAAAATGTTCATAATCATTTACCTCCATCTTAGTGATCTGCTCGGCTGTCAAACTGAAAACAACCCTGGGAGAGATAACATTGTCATCTTCTCCCCTTTAGTGTTAATGAAAAAAAAAAAAAATCAGCTTTATAACAGGATTAGGAGAAGCTAGCTAGATGGAATGTTCTGTTTTTGTCTGTAAAGGGGAAGGGATCATTTATGTTCAAAGAGTTAAAGGGGAATTAGGGAATTAAGAGGCTGCGCCCTCTGTCACATCCAAGTTTCTACCCTCTAGATATTTTTGCCCAGAGTCGACCCCAGAACAGGGGTCTGATTTATCTGAGAGTGTTGTAAGTGGAGTCTAATTGTTGTTCTCAGAATGATCATTTTTCACCTCCCAAGGGCGTCTCCGCGATACCATCGCAGGCGGTAACGGTGCAGTCTCCTGGCGCTGGGCGTCTGCCAGGCACACGTGCCGCTCTGGGAATCGCGGGCGAGGCTCAGTACCTGACCCGAGGGGGAAAGGCGGGCCCCGCAGCCTAGCGGTTCCAGGCGTGGGGTATGGCAACTTCGCAGGGCTCAGCATCGAGTCCCGATGTCCAGTTCCTGCCATTTCCAAGCCCGCTGACGAGGCAGGTCACCGCCACCTCTGAACCTCCGTTTCCCATCTGTACCTCAGAAAGGCTGGAAGACCCCAACCCACTCAGAAGCTATCTCGGCGCGAAGGTGCTGCCCCTTTAAGTAGGCGGGGAGGGTGCAAGGGGGTGGCCACGCCTCCTTCCACAGCACGCCGCGCCCGCCGACCACCTGTCTCCGGATTCGCCCCGCCCCTTCGGGAGGGGCGGGGAGGAGGGGCGGAGAAGATAGGCTAAGGATTTACCTTGCGGGGCGGGCGTGCGACGCATGCGCACGGCCGGACAGGTCCGCGGCGCCCTCACTTCCTGGCATTCCCCCCTCCCCCTCCTCGTCGTTACCCTGTACATCCGGGTCACTTGCCCTCCCCGCTCGGAGCCGCCGCCGCTGCCGCTTGGCTTGTTGCGGCTCCGCCACAGGGGCAGGTGCTGAGGGGCTCCCGGTCCGGCTGCTGCCGCTCCCCCGCTCCGGACCCGGGGCTCCCCCTAGCGCCGCTGAGGAGCCGCCTCTGCGGCTCGAGGAGGGCGGAGGAGCGGGACTGAGAGCGTCTGGAGGCTCGAGCGGAGGGTGAGTGATTGGTTTTTGCCATTTTCCCCTCTTCCCTCACACTCCTCGCTTTCCTGCTTCGCGACCCCATTTTGGCGAAGAGGCGGGTGCGGCGGGGCCCGCGCTGGCGCTGGGCTTCCTCCTTCCCAGGCGCGCTGGGCCCGCCCCCGGCCCCGCGGCGCCCCGGGGCCGCTTCCTCTCCGGCCCCGCGGCCCCGGCCTGCCCCCGGCGCTCATTCATTCGGGTCTTCCTTTCTTCCGCCCCCTTCCTTCCACTGGCACCTCCAGCGCGCTCTCGCCGCCCCCTCCCACCCCAGATCCTGCGCCCGCCGGTGACTCCTTGCTCCCCGGCTCGTCCCTCCCGCGTCGGCGTTGTCCCCCCACCCCATCCCGACTCCCACCACTCCTTCCTCTTCGCGGCCGCTTTTCCTCCTCCTCATCCCCTCTTCCTGTCCCCAGCTCCACACCCCCTTCTCCTCCGGTCTTCGCCACGCCTCAACACCCAGTCCTGGTCACTGGTGTTGAAGTTGGTGTCTTTATCGCTCCCCATCACTTCGCCTTCCACCTGCGCGGCCAGACCTTCCAACTTAGATACTGCGTTGTCCTTTTAATTAATGCTCAACGTTTAAAGTCCAGATTCTCAGTCTTAGGGTGTGGTCTTAGTTTGTTTCCAAACACGCAATTTCTACTATAATTACCCAAATCTATAACTGTCAAACTGTAGTGAAAGTGGCAATTGCTGTGTATGTGTGCGCGCGCGCGCGCGCGGGTGCGTGTGTTTTAATCTCCTGGCTATTCTGGGTCATACTGAGTACCTTTTTTTTTTTTCCTGGAAGACTTCTATGATGGATTAATTTCCTCTGAGTGTAAAATTTGGCAGATTATTATTCTTTCTACTCCTCTGGATTCCTCCTCACTTGGTCCCTTGACTGATTTGCAACATTACCTGTTAATACATTGCTGTAGAAATGTTTGTTGGTGATATTTCATGTCTCATCTGTCAACAACATTTTTTGAGTACCCCCTGTGTTCAGAATACTGATGAAATGCCCGAATACTTGGAGTACCACAGAGTGCCATTCTGGATAAGACAAAGGTTTTTGGAATTTGCTTACACATTTTTTCCTACTTCTGTGTAAGTGTGTTGAGTTTGCCACCTTTTTAATCTCTATGTGAAAAATGTGTGTCAATCAGTTTTGTGTGTTTTAAGTCTTACTGTGTGGGAGATCGGCATTCCAGAGGAGTGTTTTATATAGCTAAAGGAATTTCAATCACTCGCTGTTTGGTGACTTACTATCGCAAATCATTTTAGACAAATATACCTCAAGAAAAACACACTGATCCTTTTAATTCTTTAATTGTATTTAGTAATAGAAACAGAAGCTTTGTGTCTAGAACTGCTTGATAACTGGGGCTTATTTGATAGCCTGTTTGTAGAGTGTTGCAGTTAACTGAAACTCCCTAATCAGCATTCATAAAATGAAATGACAGCACTTTTTTTTTTCGTGTGACTTTCATATCCATGATAATGAACTCCAAGAGAGGCTCGTAGTCCTAAAGCACACCTACCTGCATATTATTATGATGATACTATTGCTGTCAGTATTTATGGCAGCATTTTCCAACAGCTTCGTTTTATGGGAGCTTGGTGTTAAAAAGGTACTTGACTGTTTGTCCCTGCTTAGGTTTTGGATAACCACTTCAACAGTTAGATTTTTTAACGAGAGACAGAGAGAGAGAGAGAGAGAGAGAGAGAAAAAGAATACGTATTTGCAGAACAGTTTTGCTAGATAATAATCTTTAAAAATCTTTAAAACTTTAATAGTGATGTAGCTGTTTGTGAGGAACCTCTTGCTTTGTAAAACGTTCTAGACTATATAGTATGAATTTTAGATTATGTAATTGGATAGAGGCTAGATTTTTCTCTCCCAAGAAAGTGGTTGGTTGATCAGAGGGAGGCGTGGTCAGTAAGTTAATTCTAGTTGCCCCAGAAGAAGTATAATTTCAGATGTTGAGTAAAACTAAGTGAATGCAGTTTATTTTTGATAGATTTTTGATTGACATTTAAACTAATTGAAGTTAAAATTCATTTCTCTGAATTCTTCAGGAATAAACAGGTTTTTAAAATTTACAGGTTAAATTAGTGTCCCTCTTGAGAGTATTTCACTCATATCTGAAATGGTCATTTATCTTTATATAGTAAATAACAATTGATGGAGAAGTATAGAGGGGTGCTTATTTTACTCCTAGTCCCCGTGGGGGAAAATACTGGATTGTCACTTATTTGAGGTTACTTGACTCTTACTAAGTATTAATGCATTCAACTGTAAGAACTTACAATTTTCTCTTACATTGTTTAAGGAAAACAAGACTGTAATAGTTGGAAATAACTTAGTGGGATACCTCCTATTTTTGATCTCTTCTGTAACTACACCAGAGTTTAGCACAGTGCCTGCCTGGTGCATAGTGGGTACTTAATAATGATGTTTTGAACAATTGAGTTAATGGCAAGGTCAAAGAATCTTAGACTGTAACAGCATTTTGTAATTATGTGGCAAAAATTTTTGAAAAAGATGTTGATTGCTCTGAACTGTAGTTTTTTTCAGGTATCTTGTATATTTTTAAGACTGCTGGCCGGATGCAGTGGCTCACGCCTGTAATCCCAACACTTTGGGAGGCCGAGTCGGGCTGATCACGAGGTCAGGAGATGGAGACCATCCTGGCTAACACGGTGAAACCTCGTCTCTACTAAAAATACAAAAACGTTAGCTGGGTGTGGTGGTGGGCGCCTGTAGTCCCAGCTACTTGGGAGGCTTCGGCAGGAAAATGGCGTGAACCTCGGAGGTGGAGCTTGCAGTGAACCAGGATGGCGCCACTGCACTCCAGCCTGGGCGACAGAGCAAGACTCCATCTGAAAAAAAAAAAAAAGACTGCTATATTGGGTTATTTAATTTGCTTTGAGATCTTTGGGTGAGGAAGTATAGATACGATTTTGTGTTGTACTTTAGTGCATAGAATGGATTTATTTGCTTAGAATGGGCATTTGATATATGTATCTTATCAGCATTCATGAACAACAGTGAATTCAAATAATTTCTTGTGCATTTAGAGTTTCTGAAAGTCCACATAAATGTTGTTGGATGTGTGAGCTCATTCTGTATTATGATCAGTTCACTAAATCCTAGCTCTTAATTATGCTGTAATATTGAACACCTACTATATGCCAGATTCCTTTTAACCATTAGGTTAGTTTTATAACAACTCTGCAATGTGTAGTTTAACTTCTATTTAATTCCTAATTAACATGAGGAAAGTAAGGCTCAGAGAGCTTAGGTTAGAGGTATGCCATTAATCATAATTAAATATTTCCAATTCCGTATACTTGTCAAGTATACTCTCAAGTGGGAGATGTTGAAGACCGGCATTTGAACCCATCACGTTTACTTAAATTCTATTTCAGTGTACTAATCTGATATTTTATATGAAGTATTTGTAAAACATACTTAAAACAGCAAATCTCAAAACTTTTTCTTTTTCAGCTGCCATGGAGGATGGATAATGTTCACTTGTTCTGTACTCTCCTGTAAGCATATACAGGACTGACAGCTAGCTGTAGTTTCACCCCTTTCCCACTTGTGCAAGTAATTAGAATGCAACTGAGTCACATTTGTAAACTTTTTAAACAAAGAAATCATTGTTAGAATTTTGATTATTTAAATATAAACATTTCTTGCAACACACCTTCACATCTGGATAATGGTACCATGGGTCAGAATGACTACTTTTAAAGATATTGTGTGATTTTAAGGAGAAGACTTAATGCAGAGATATATTTTTGTAGCTATTTAATTCATTTTGAAAAGATTGATCATCAACATTAAGGTACTATTGTATGTGACACTGTGAAGCCTGAGTCCTGTACAGTTATTTTTTGCTAATACAGTAATCTCTTCTTGTTATATTTTAGTTGATGCATTATGTATGATATATATTAAATTCTAGATTGATACACACCCTTTCTACTGTGTTTCGAGCAGGGGTCCCCAACCCCTGGGCCATGGCCTGTTGGGAACCAGACTGCACAACAGGAGGTGAGCGGCATTACTCCCTGAGGTCTGCCTCCTGTTAGATCAGCAGAGACAGCATTAGATTCTCATAGTAGCGTGAACCTTGTTGTGAACTGTGCATTAGAGGGATCCAGGTTTTGTGCTCCATGTGAGAATCTAACGCCTGGTAATCTGAGGTGGAACAGTTTCATCCTGAAACCATTCCTTCTGTCACCCTGTCTGTGGAAAAATTGTTTTCCATGAAACCATTTCCTGGTCCCAAAAAGGTTAGGGACCATTGATCTAGAATATTTATTCCTTCCAATCATAAATTGGCATGTCCTCAGATAATCCAGATTAACCTGAATACTACTTTAGGTCAAGCATTTTCAGAAAACACTTGATAAGAAAGAAATTATGACATAGTCCCAGATGTCATAATGTGACATATGTCATATTGTTCCCGGACCAAACTGAGGGTCAGGCTGCTATTTCTCATGGCCCAATAACGAGATGCAGGTGAACTGGAGAGGAAGAGAGTTTTTATTTTCTGCAACCAGTTATAGGGAGAAGGCCTGGAAATTATTGCCAGACCAACTCAAAATTACAAAGTTTTCCAGAGCTTATATGCCTTCTGAGTTATATGTCTACATGTAAGTGTGCATTCATCTAAATAACATGAGTGATTAACTTCTTTTAATCTATAACTAAGCTCGAAGTCCTGAAGAGCTTCCTCTGGACCCTCAGTAAATTTACTTAATCTAAATGGGTCCAGTTGCTGTGGGTGATTACCCTTATATTGTCTCCTGCAAAATCACAGAGGTTTGGGGAATTCCTTCAGACCCCCAGTAAATTTGTTTGTGGAGGCCTAGGGAGTTTCTTCAGACCCACAATAAAACTTGTTTAATCCTAAATGGGTCCTGTTAAGATTTCGTTCATTGTTTTATCATGCTTTAAGGCCCAGGAAAGGCCTAGGTAAAACTGGTGATGGGCTTTTGTTAATCTCAGTCTTTGTATAAGGGCACTGGCTTTTAATATTTAACTGAACAACTCAGTCAGTACTGAAACAGTTGTTGTGGAGGCCTGCATGAGTGAGACCTGGCCTGCCGCAATATGACGTCATATATCGTAATATATATTATGACATATCATAATATGACATATAATGTGATAATTTAAGGATTATTTATGCCAT